ACAGGGGGAGCAGGGGGAAGCTGCCCCATTGCATCGGCGTTGAATGGGCCACTGTTTGCGTCTCACATGCTGGAGTGGGTGCCTGGCTAGGAAGGAGACCCTCAGAGATGGGAAGGCAGAGGCAAGAGACAGAGGCCTCTCTTGTCTGCTTGTCACAACGTCCGTGACTTGGTGTCCTGTGCATCCTCATGGCTGTCACCTCCCCCCACACACACACACATTCTGTCTCTGGCTCCCTTCAATTGTATCTTTCCTCCTCTCTGTGTGGGGTGAGCAGGAAGCTCTGGAGAAGGTGGAGTCTGAGGCTAAGAGGCCATTAAACTGTCCAGACATCGCTAACGAATTTATTAAAATGCCCCCGTCCCCTGGAAATATAGACAGAGCCCATCAAGACGTGTACAGACAGAACCAAATAAATTTCAGCTGAAAGGAGCAGGAGTCAATGTCTGCAGGGCACCGTCTACTCCCTCCCCCATCCCACCCCCACTCCAAGGCTATGCTCCAATCTAGGCAGGTCAAATAGAGCGAGAAGAATTGTATGTTCGATACCTGCCAGGGGTGTTATATGAGCTGGTGGGCCCTGTACCTTGGAGTTAACACCCCCATCCTGCATTCACCGGGCCAGTTGTGACGACTGGCCTGGGGATGCCTCAGCCCAGAGAAAGGTATATTTTTTTCCTAAGTTGTCTGGCCAGAGGGGAGGCGCCTTCTTATAACTTCTGGCTCAGGAGGATTGCCTGTTTATACCCAGACACTGTGTGGGGCCAGCAGCCCTGTTGTGGGCAAAAGGCCAGACCCAGTGCATCTTTTAGCCTGACCTTCAAGATAGCAGAGGATGGGAAAGGAAGGAAGGGGACCCCTGGGGGCTCTCTCAGGGGGTCCCAAGTCTGAGGGCGGCCAGAAGGATGAGCAGGGAGAACTCCTTCTCTCTGGACCTAAAACTTGATTCTAGAGGTTCTGTCTAGCTAACACACCCAGCCCTGAGCCAGTGTCCAGACCCCAACCTTCAACCAATGGCCCACCTACTTTCCTAGAACTGTCTGGAATATGATGGAAGCCAGTTCCTCTTTAAAACTCCATCAGATTCCCAAAGCTGGCAGCCACCCAGTTGGACCCCACGAGGGCCTGATCGCCAAACCATTTCTGCCAGTGAATTCAGTCAGGACGGGCCCAGGCATCCAAGCTGAGGCTTCCAAAGGCCTATGGAGCAGCTTTGTTCATTTGGCAAGATTTACTGAGTACCTACTCTGTGACAAGCACTGGTGGGTACTTGGGTATAACACTGAACCAGTCGTGTATGGCCTCTGCCTTCAACAAGCTCCCACCCAGGTAGAGAGACAGGCAATAAAACAAGCATTTACCTGGCTGAGTAACAGTGCCGTGGCACACAGAAGCCACTCATTGTTGAATGAGTGAATGAATGAAAGATTGAATGAATGAAGTAGAGAGTTTTGTGCTATCCTGACCTTGGGATCAGAGAAGGCGTTCTAGAGGAGATGTTATGTAAACTGGAGAATGAATAAATTTAGTCATAAGAAGTGAGAAAGAGGGGAAGAGTGTTCTAGGCAGAGGAAATGGCACATGCAAATGGCCTGGGGTTGAGGAGTGGTGGCAGAACCAAGAAAACTCTAACCGATGAGCTTAAGGCTGTGGGGGCCAGGGTGGGGGTGTGCAGAAGAGATGAGGCTTGTTAAGTACACAGGGTGGGATTGTAAAGGACATTGTCATCCATGCTAAAGAGATGCATCCCCAGAAATGGGACTTTTAAACAAGCAGGAGAAGTTGGTATTTTCAGGCACCTGGGGCAACCCAATGAGAACACTTCAGTAGTACCTGTGTCTCTATTTTCTGGTGGTAATGGAAAAGCACGATGCCATGTAGAATTCTCAGCTCTCAACACACCAGTTACATGTGGACCGTGGTTGTGATCAGGTAGGGACACTCTGAAAGTGTCCCTGTGAGCTCAGGGGGTAGGGGAGAAAATGTCACTTTCTATATGCAACAGCCCTAAGGGGCCTCAGGCTTGTGAAATCTTTGTCCGCGGGAACCCATGATGCACAAGAGCAAATAATTTGAAATGAGTAGCCAAGGCAGGGAACAAGTACCTGGGGAGAAAAAGGCCCGGCCTGGATGCCCCTGGGCAGTGAGCCGTGAGATAAGGCAAACCATTGTCCTCACGGCCCCTTGCCTTGAGCCGGTTCCCTCCAAGGAGGGCTTGCCTGGTTCCCTTGCAATATCCTGGCCACCAAACATTCACCGTCTCTAAGGCAAAGATTCTCTGAGCCCATCCCTGGACCACACCCCAGCCGGAGAGCTCCAGTCCCAGGGTCAAGCTGCCTGGCGCTAGAGAACTCCCCCCGAACAACCTTATTTTGAGGTCCCTTCTCCCAGGGCAAAGCCAGCCAGGACCCCAAGCAGGTAAAGCAGCAGCTGTGCTGGGCAGAACTTGGGAAAGCTGGACCATCCCCTTGTCTGTGCACAAAGCCTCCTGGGAGACTCCTCCTGGGAGTCCACAGGGATGTCCTTCCTGCCCGTCCAGGAGCTGACATCCTGAGCTGTCAGTTATCTGTTATTCCAGCTCTGGTGTTTCTGTGTCTCACTCTCATGACCCACTGCTGAGAAGGCAGAACTGTCGGTTCAGAAAGTCAAAAGTCCCCCTCCTTTCGGCCCACAGTGCGTGAGATAAAGCGGGGAGCAGACAGGCTCTCGATGGTGAGACCTACCCTGATATCTGAGGGGCTCAGGGCAGGCGTCTAAAGGAAGCCCACATACTGTACATCCAAATGTCTACAAATCAAGCCAGCAGACTGCAGTGAACCATGTGCTCCTATCTTGGCAAGCAGACCTTCAAAATCATCTGAGAAGTTGGATTTAAGTTTAGAATCTCAGACCCTTCAGAATGCCAGGCAGTGTGGGGAAACCTGCCCTGGGGACCCGGCCCCGCCCTCTGTCGTCCCGCCTTTTACACCAGCCAACACTGCGATGGGCCTCCCGCCCGTGCATGCGGACACCTCAGTCTGAACACCCAAAGTCTGTCCAGAGGGCCACCCTTGGAGCTAGGGGTGTGCACACTTGATGCGTGGTCTCGCCCCGGGGGAATAGATAGGTCCAGGGATGAGCCTGCAGAGACCCTGGAGGGGCTCATTTGAACTGAATCCTGGGGTGTCAGGTGCCCGGAGAGTAGTCCCAGGGAGGTGGTTTCCAGGTAGCGCCTCTTGATCCCATGGGGTAGTTATCGCTGGAGGATGCCCACAGCTAGATAAGCACGGTACTGCTGGCAGGGGCCCGAGCCGAACCCAGTGTCACCCCAGCCGTGAGACTCGTCCGAGCATTTAGAGAAAACCACCCCCTGTGCTTCTAAACAGGCCGCAGCCTTCCCAAGGGCCAGCTCTGCCTCACCTCCTTCCCTCCTCCACCTGTCCCAGGTCAGCTCGAAGCAGGATTCTGGGAAGCCCTCCTCACTCCCGGTCACCCCAAAGCCCAAGCTCCCAGCCCCCTCCCAGAGCCCTTTGTTGAGAGCTCGCCCTCCCCTCCCCTCCCCGTGTCACCTTGATCTCCACACCCAGGCAGACAAAACCTCTCCCCACCCCACGCCCCCATTGGCATTTCCAGCAAGGGTTTCTCCATCCAACTCGGGCCTTAAGGGACTGACACCAGGTTAGCGGTGACGGCGCGAGGTCCCCTTAGGAGGAGACCAAACAGCAGCGACCCCCCCAGC